GGTCGATCTTGGAATACGCGTCATCAGTATATCCGAACCTCTCTTATGAGGACGCTATTAAAACCTCGAAGTTAGATTTATTGTCTGATCGTAGAACAGCTGCTTGCCTCAAACTTTTTGAAAAGGCCCAAATGACAGATCATAAATTACATTCACTAGTTCCGGAGAAAAAAGTTTGTTCGTATTCCCTAAGACAATGTAGTAAATCCCATCTACCTCGAACTCGAACTGATCGGTATAAGAACTCATTCATAATCGCCAATAGTCTTCAACAGTAATTTAATTTTTTTAAATTGTACTATAATCATATATCTAATCCAATTTTTATTACTTGTTAATTTTTATTACTTATTTTTATTACTTGTTATGTACATATTATTAGGTTATTTAGTCACTGTACATCGTATATAATTCAGTTGTTTTGTTGTAACTGCAAATTACGATTATTAAAATCAATCAATCAATCATTTGTGAGGATTGAAAATTTTCGGTCTGCTATGCGAGAGAATTTCCCGTCTTTTGAGCCAAGAAAGCGGACACAAGAAAAATCAACCAGAGTATAAAACGTTTAATAAACTTCCTTTTATTGATTTGCAAAGAGGGCATTAATAGGTTTTGCTGAACGTGAAATATCTTTGGTGAAATGCGTTAATATATTTTCAGCGAGGCATAGAAATTCTATGTGCCGTTTGTCATATAATTTCAAGAAGTTACTCGGGACGTTTCCATGAGAAGCGTACGGAATGGTTTGCCGCGGGTCGTTTTAAAATTTGAACCCAGAGTATATCGGCTTTGAACTGCAAAAACCTATTGTAAATCCTCTGTAAAAGTTCCATTTTTTTCCAATTGGACAAATTCAAGAGACTCATAGTACTATTTAAAACAAATGTATATAAAAAAGTAAAGATGATCGACTTACGGGTAAATATGATAGAGAACGTGTCAGATTGGCCTATCGAAATCATAGTATTAAGCTGTGCAGCTGTGAATTCATCCAGCATTTGGAACACCAGAAAAATCCACAACGAAATCATGATGATACGAAAGAATTTCATATTGAAGAGATGAATTTAAACTATTTCCAGACGGGATAAATGTAATACGACCGTGCTTGATCGTACGACTCATTTGTGAGAAATAATGCGTTATAATTGGTTGGTTTAAGCCAGCACAGGTGTTTATAATATATATGTCATTTAATACTACAAACATATTAGAAACGCATTAGTCAGGTATTTTTAATGAAATTACCATATCAGCAGGTTTCTTGTATTTTGCCAAAACCATGACTTTCCGCTATATTTTTTAAAGTTTCTCCCTCATCACGCTATTTAGACCTTACATTACTGAAATACAATATGGATTTATGATATACTGTTATAACTTCACTCCGTATAGACAGAATTTTAATTTTTCACCTAATGCCTAATGTATATAATGCTTGTTTAGTTGAAGCATTTCCAGACATTTTTGAAGCGTATTATACATAAGTCAAAAATGAGGGCATTAGTTAATTTGGCATTTAATATAGACGAATTCAAGTTCAGTGAAACATTGTTGCTTATGGTACTATGAGGGAAAAACAACTCTCCAAATGTTTTATTGCACGTTTTCAGACATTGCAGCTGTTGTTTTTTATCTTTTCACAAATATTGTCAAACTGTCGCAGAATTGTCGTGCCGGAAAGTGCTGTGCAGAAAAATTCATTGCTCTGAAATAATTTACAATGAATTTTCATTTCCAGAATTCAATTCTCAACAACTAAATTCCAGTTGCATATTTTTGCGAAAGCAAATCTAGTCCAGTTAACATGAGAAATTGTATGCTATAAGCAGGGAGATGCACGGCGACTTGTATTCGGTCATAAAATTTTATTTGCCATGCTAGGCTGTTTGAAAGTTTCATGAATATTCGATGTTGTTCAAATAGCTGCACTTGAAAATAAAATTATTTTAGTGTGTTTAAGGGGCTATAGGGCTCTTAGTCTGTAAATGTTCGACATGACAAGCATCGTTTTCATGGAAACCAACTTAAACTCTTTATCAAAACATTAGTATAAGGCTTTTTGTCTGACGAACTTCATTTCCCTCGCAGAATTAATTTGAATTTTTCGATCAAATATTTACAATAAATTTCGGTTGAATTAAGTGCACTTTGGGAAGGACACAATGCCTGCGTAATAAATAGTCCCTATCCATTAGTCCCTTTCTCTATCCAGTAAAATCCTTCAGAATCCTTAAAGGACTACTGTTACTGACTTTGCACACGTATTCGATGTCAGCAAGACATAATATATAGATATCTTGCAAGCACACAACGTGTACTAACCATGTAGAAAGAATTTTTTTTTTTAAATCATTCATTTAAAAAGTTATATATTCCTGTAAGCGATGTGTCTAGTTTTGCCATAATCTGTAAATCTTTATAATATTATTCGTAATGGTCAACATTGCATTCGCTATGTTTATAAGTGTCGGTTTTTCGGCTTTATCATATATGAGTTTTTCTAGTGAGGGACCAACGCCGTTTCCTTTTGGCCATATTCTTTTTGTTTGCATGCTGACATGCGTATACTGATAATTTCTACCTCTGAATTTGATCTAAATTTTATAACATTTTGTAAGTATGATATTTGCTATGTCGGTGTAATGTACTCAGGTGAATAAGATGCTTGTGTGATGTCACTCTGAGTGTATGTCCACACCGAGCAGGCCCAAAAAATATGCTTGGCTACGGTGGGATTCGAACCTACGACCTTTGGAATACTAGCCCATGCAATTCGAACCTACGACCTTTGGAATACTCAGTTCCGAAATATCGCATACTCGAACCGACCTGACCACGTAGCTCAGTTGGCAGAGCATTGGGCTAGTATTCCAAAGGTCGTAGGTGCGAATCCCACCGTGGCCAGGCATATTTTTTGGACCTGCCCGGTGTGGATATACACTCATGCAGCTACAGTAACATCACACAAGCATCTTATTCACCTGAATACATTACACCAACACAGCAAATATCATGATTATTAGATTACACTGATATCGAAGGAACTAGACTCAGTTCCGAAATATCGCATACTCGAACCGACCTAACCACGTAACTCAGTTGGCAGAGCATTGGGCTAGTATTCCAAAGGTCGTAGGTTCGAATCCCACCGTGGCCAGGCATATTTTTCGGGCCTGCCCGGTGTGGATATACACTCAGAGTAACATCACACAAGCATGCAACTTTGTAAGTAATTACTTGCCGCTAAGGACGTGCAAATTGTTTACATACAGACGTCGAAAATAATTTCAGTACTTCTCCGCGAGGACGCTGGAAAACACTCCTTTTCGTGAAACGCTTGCCGCTATGTCTTAAACTTTACAGTTGCGGAAATATTTTTAAACTCGGTTCTATGCTGAGACGAGACGAATCTATATAGGTAAAGGGTATTGTAGATGGAAATCATCGAGTGGAAATTTATATAGCCTACATTTATTAGACAATATTCTGTACTTTTGTCATGATTGGCAGTTGTCTTTGCATTGACATTCCCCACGCTTAAGCTTCCTTGAAATTTAAAGCGCTTATTCCTGCACTTTACGGAAAAAAATCCAGACTTATTACTCTCTCAGATCAAAAGACGAAAAATTCAAAATCTAAAAAAATGTTTTCAATCTTGGTCAATCCTTTAACGATTGGAAGTGAATCATAGAAAAATAAAAATCGATTAGTATTTCTCGAGAGAAATTTGAACCCTAGACTCAAATGTCTTTGTCCTCCAAATCATTTGTGAAGATTAGAAATTTGCGGTCTGCCACGAGAGAATCTGCGATCTTTTGAGCTAAGAGAGCAGCAGACATAAGAAAAATTCTACCAGAGTATAAAATATGCAAGAAACTTGCTTTTATTGATTTGCAAAGAGGGTATTACAATATGTTTTGCTGAACATGAAATATTTTTCGAGAAATATATTTATATATTTTGAGCGAGGCATAGAAATTGTATGTGCCGTTTATATAATTTCAAGAAGTTGCGCAAAACGTTTCAATGAGAAGCCTCCAGAAAAATTTGTAGTTTAAAATTCGAAAAAAGAGTATATCGATCGGCTTTGAACCACAAAAACCTATTGTAAATCCTCGATAAATGTTCCCTCTTTTTAAATTCGAAAAATTCGAGAAACATACAGTACTATTTAAAACAAATGTATAAAAAAGTTTAGTGGATCGACTTACGAGCATGTATGATAGGGAACGTTTGAGATTGCCCCATCGGAATCATAGTGTTAACCTGTCCAGCTGTTAAGTTGTCGAGCATCTGAAACAACAGAAAAATCCACAAAGAAATCTTAATGATACGAAAGAATTTCATATTGAAGGGAGAATTTCTTCAACTTTCAACTGAGTTCCAGATGGGAAAGACGTAATATGACCGTGCCTCGTACGACGCATTCGTGAGAAATAATGCATATTAATTGGTTGGTTTAAGCAAGCACAGGTGTTTGTAATGTACATGTCATATAATATTACAAACATGTTTAAAACGCGTTAGCCAGGCGTTTTTAAATTAAATTACCATATCAACCAGTTTCTTGTATTTTGCCAAAACCATGACTTTCCGCTATAAATTTTAAAGTTTTCTCCCTCAATCACACTACTTGGACAATATGCATTTATGATATACTGTTATAACCTAACTCCGTAATTTTAATTTGGCACTTAATGCCTAATGTATATATAATGCTTATATATTAATTGAAGCATATTGCAGTCATTTTTGAAGCGTATTATACATAAGTCAAAAATGGCGGCACGAGTTAATTTAGCATTTAATTTAGACGACTTCAAGTTCGGTGAAACATTGTTGCTTATAGTAGTATGGGATGGAAAAACAACTCTCCTTGAACGTTTTAAGACAGCGCAACCGTTGTTTTTTTTCACCTTTTCACAAATATTGACAAACTTTGTCATGTGCAGTGGATATATTCATTTCTCTTAAATAAGTGAAAAAAATTTCATTTTAAGAGTTCTATTTTCAACAACTAAATTCCAGTTCTATTTTTACGAAAGCAAATCTGGTCCAGTTAACATGAGAAATCGTATGCAATAAGCAGAATGCATTGGGACCTGTCTTTGGTCAAAAATTTTTATGTCCTATGCTGTAGTGGAATTGACAGTTTCATGAAGAGTGGTTATAATTTTTCATTAATTAAAGTTAAAGCGAAGGGAGTTGTTCCGCTTCAGTGCATTTCTGGAATTCACAACTTTGAACCTGACAACCTCGTTTTAAGGCTAACAACCTGACAATATTTCGCTCTTAGCTGTATGATCTACTTGAGCAAAGCAGCTTGAGCAAATTGTAAGGTATCCGCGATCATAAAGTTAGTCACAACTCAGACCCTAAGCTAACTCCAACCCAAGTCTTAACACTATCTGACTGTTTTAACCTACTTTTAATTGCCTCACGCCACTATGTGTTCCAAAACCATAGGCGTAGTGGGGGTGGAGGGGGACCGGGGGGGGGCAGTTACCCCCCTCTCGAGTCAAAATGAAGTTCGGCCCAATTCGGTTGCCAATCAAAAGTAAGCGATAGTTTTCTGCAGCAAATAATATTTTATCCATTGTAACTTGAGATAAATCGATGCAATAAACCTTTGCCTTTATTTCCAAAAATTGTTTGAACACGAAGTATTCTAAATTACGCCAACACTAAATGCAGGCTCGCGTTGTCGCGTCATGTTAGCCATGGCAACACCTTCGTGAAGTTAGTTGACAATAGCGTACCTTAAAATGGCAGACATGCCATAAAACAAGATGCAGGTTTGAATCTTAGGCTCCCGTTTTATCGCATTTCAAGCCCTCTAGAGTAAAGGCATGAAGTTGCGCCGCTGTAACATTCAGTTCTTGAGTGGAAATCAACGGTCATATGTAAACGGTATGGTTTTTGCGTATCTATCTGGTATGGTTTAATTTTGGGTCACTATGCAAGAAGCTATCAGATTCAAAGTAAACATAGCCTTATGCCACTCCATATGGAAAATCACTTGAAACCTGCTGAATATTGGCAATTATGAACCCAGAACCAATTATATTTTATAAGCAAAGATTCGATCTTTTTTCCTCAGGCCACGACATTCTAATTATTGTGTATGTCCAAGCGGTACGCATTTTCATCATTCCTTTGTCCGGAATTGGGGGTTTGTCCCATTTAAAGAGCTAAGTGTTCATTATTTATGGTTTTGGGGGGGGGGGGATTTCACACGAATTCTCCTCAATATCTACCTGATCCTCCTCTGGCAAACGCAAAATG